AGCATTTGTCTTCTAAATGCTTGACCTTTTAAAAATTGTACCTTTTTTAATGTTTTGATCGTGCTTGGCTCTCTAGAGAGTGATACTGTGCTTTCTTGGGGGTTTAATAATGGAAGTAGCTTTAACTGTGCTTCTCGGGAGAACTAACTTCTCATGAGCATATCTGAAACAACCACAACATCCCAGTCCCTGGGCCAGTGCTGGCCTCAAGGTACAAGGGTGGGGCTGCCAGGCACACAGTCCCAAAGGACAGCCTCCAGCAGCTGTCCTTTCAAGGGCACACTTGAAACCTTTTATTTCCTCTACAGGAAATATGGAAGTTCTTGAAAGTGAAACCTATAGGAGAATCCCGTAAGAATAAAGATAGATGAATGATAGAGTGACAGAAACCTCCCAGGAATTATTCCTTCCTGCATATCGATGGGAGATTGGAGAGATGGATGGGTGTAACACATATTTATACACGTTTGTGTGTACATCTGGAGTGAGATGATGTATATGTGTGCATATACATGTTTACGTGTGTGTATTCACACACAGAGAGGAAAAGAGAAGAGTGTGCACACGTATTGATACATATTTAAAAAGAGAGAGCACACACGTGTAGAGATACATTTAGGGGTGTGTGTGTGAGAGAGAGCGTGTGCATGTGCTCAATTCTTAGTAAACCATGATGTCTTAAATGGAGTTTCCATCTCCTCAGTCTCAGTTGTGGTATAATGACTTTCTAATTTAAAAAATGCATAGGGAAGCAAATGCTCTGGCCAGGGGACAGTGGGAGGGTGGCCTGTCCATCACACAGGGTGCTGCAGCTGCTTGTGAAGGAGCCTCCTGGGCGCCCCAGGCCCAGGGTGAGGAGAGCGGCGAGGGCAGAGCCAGGCCTCGAGGACAGGCAGGGCCTGAAACTACAGCACAGAACACCACGGGTCCGGGCTCACAGTGTCCTGCACGGCATGGGAACCCCGGGGGGTGATACAGGAGTGAAACTGCAGAGGCAGGTGGGACAGTGATCGCTTTTCTCTTTCCCCCCAGTCCTAAGCCACCGCCTCCAGAGGGAGCCAAGTCCAACCCTTCTAAAAGGCACCGGGACCGGCTGAATCAAGAGCTGAGCAAACTCACCAACCTGCTGCCCTTCCCGGAGGACGTGCGGGCCAGGCTCGACAAGCTGTCCATCCTCAGGCTGATCGTGGGCTACCTGAAGGTGAAGGGCTACTTCGCAGGTGAGCGCGGCGGGGAGTGGCGACGCCGGCCTGCGGGCGGGGGTCCCGCAGGGGCCACCGCGGGCGGGCGGGCTCGGCCCCTCCGGGTCAGGCTGCCGTGCACGGCCTGTCGCCTGGCTCTGTTCTTCCGGCTGGGCTTTTGCTCCTTTTGCTTTGTCATTGCTTCTGAGAATCCACGTGTTCCTCCACCTTGTGGAACGTTGGTCCGAACAATGGGCCCATTTTTCTGAATCTAGGGTGTGAACTAGGGTATCATTTCTTCCTGTCTTCTTGAAAACGTATTCTTCTACAATTCTCTACCACACAATGGCACCACCTGTTCTCCCTTCTCCCACTAGCTCATTAGCCGTGTCTTTGCTTAAAGACAGCTCATTTTAACGTGTTCGTGTTTGTGAGAACGGAACTTGTGTGAGTGACGCTGAACGCGAGGGGGGGGAGGGTGGCCTCTGCGTCCCCTGAAAGGTCCCTCGGGCTGGCCGAGCCCTGGGAAGGGGTCAAGAGAGGAGACTCTGGACCTGAACACAGGGTAAAAACGGTCACAGTGCTCTTGTGGAATTTGTTTTAATTTGGAAGAAGTTTCAGAATTGCTGGACATTTGGGGGAAATGTCAATAATAAGACGGTCAACTGAGAAAAGTAGGTTCCCGAGTAGGCCTTATCTCTGGAAATCTTTTTTTAAGAAACCTTCCTCCGGCTTTGCTCCAGCAGCAGCGGCCTGCTCTCTGTTGGGACCCCCATCTGCCTGGCCTCACTCCTGCACAAGCAACTTCCTTCAGTGTGGACAAACTGCCTTCATCAGAAAATGTCTTTATTTCACCTTTATTTTTTCCTCGAAGTTGTATTATGAAAGATTTCAAACACATAAAAGGGTTAGAATTTTACGGTGAACACTCATATGCCCACCAATTAGATTCTAGAAGGAACATTTTATTACGCTCTTGTTTTATCATGTGCCCAGCTAGCTACAGCATTGTTCTTAAAGGATGTTTTGCTGGATACAGAATCCCGTGTTGGTTTTTTCTCTCAATACTTTTAATGTGTCCCTCCATTATCTCCCGCCGTGCGCTGCTCTGGATGAAAGGTAAGTATTGCTCCTACCGATGTTCCCCTGTACACGATATGCCTCTTAAGATTTCTTTATTCATTTTCGGTTTCCAGCAGTTTCGGTGTGGTTTTCTGTGTGTTTTGTTGACTGAGACTCACAGAGCTTCTTAGATGTGGATTTATCTTTTTCATCAAATTTGATGAACTTTCAACCACCACTTTTTTCTGACTTTTCTCTCCTCTCCGTGTGGAACTCAAGTTACATATATTTTAGATTGCTTGATACTGTCCCACAGGTCACAGGTGCTCTGTTCAGTTTTTTCCTTCAGTTTTTTCACCTCTGCTTTATTTTGGATAATTTCCTTTGACTTGTCCCCGGTTTACCAATCCTTTCTTCTGTAAGTGTTCATCTTGCTATTAAGCCTATTAAATGTATTTTTTATTTCAGGTATTGTATTTTTTAGATCAAGTTTCTCTCTTTGGTTCTTTTTTATGCTTTCCATTTCTCTGCTGAGCTTTCATTTACAGGATCAATTGCACTTTGAGTATTAGGTCAAGAGCTTTGCAATCCAATTGGGTAGCTATTAGCCATATAGAGTTACTTAAATTTAAATTTATATCAATTAAAATGAAGTATGATTTAAAATTTAGCTCTTTGGTCGCACCAGCCATATTTTCACAGCTCAGAAGCCACATGTGGCTAGTGGCCTCACGATGGACAGCAAATGCTGAGCATTTCAGCTGTCACGTTGGACCTCACTGGCCTCTCTTTGCAGTTATCTTCCAACTCGTCTAAAACAGTGACACGTCTTCCTCTGTCCTTGTCTCCTCTTTGCCATTACGAGTGGCAAATGGAAAATTCTCAACTCTCCACTATGTTTAATGAAATATAGAAACAGGCCTCGGCGATGGTGTCGTTTCTTCCTTTACATCTTCTTGAGTAAGACTTTGGCAGCAAGAAAACTGAAGCATTCTCAACTCTCCACTATGTTTAATGAAATATAGAAACAGGCCTCGGCGATGGTGTCGTTTTTTCCTTTACATCTTCTTGAGTAAGACTTTGGCAGCAAGAAAACTGAAGGAGGACACGAAGGGATGCAGATTTCCCTATTCCACTATCTCTCTGTGTTCTGTCGTTCTTCCATTTTCTTATTATTTTAGTCTTTTGGCAAAGCTGAGAATCCTTAATGATGAATTTTGGAACAGTTCTAAGAATGATGAAATAGCAAAATGTTTCAAGAGTTAAAAAACAAATGAAATTACTAAGATTCAGTACTGTATCTTAGATTTATATTAGGGTCAAGTGGACTCATATGATCATTTCAAGGCAGAATAAATTTCATCCTATTTTTAAAATGTCAATTTATCTTTTTTCTTTGGAAGACCTCTAATAAAGACTAAAAATTATGACATATTAATCTTTAAAATTGCTACAGCTTCTGAAGAAAGAAACTACAAAACTAAAATTGGATCCAGTTGACCCTGATAATACACTGAGGACTGTGAAACTGTGCTGATCGCACAGTGATAAACGCAGAAAAGCAACAACCGTTCAATCATGCGGAGTAGGGACGCGGGTGTCCACCAGTGGCCAGACAACGTGTGAGGTGGTGGCCGGGGGCTGAGGAGAATGGGGTGGGGAATAGCTGACTAGTAGGCACCTGCTTTTCTTTTGGGGCGATGACAGTGTTTTGGAACTAAACAGAGGTGGTGGTTGCACAACATTGTAAATGTACTAAATGCCACAGAACCCTCCACTATAAAATGGTTGATCTTATGTCAATTCCACCTAAATTTTTAAAAACACACATTCAAAGCCTTTTTTCTCCCAAAACCCTTGTAGGGGACCCAGAGGCTCAGTGGAGCCAGGTGAAACCAGGGTGGTGCCAAGGAGCCTGCCTTGTTCAGCTCCGTGGGCCTCACGGTCATTTGGCGCCTTCCGTGATGAGGTGACAGGCATCTCTTAACACCTTGGGCAGTTATGTCATCACCCAGGGGTGGAGTTAAGGACACTTTTGAGTGGATCTGCTGGCTCTCCTCAAGTGACACCTGCTGTGAGCCAGGCCGACGCACACCGCCCGCTCCCCTTCTGCTCTCCGTCTGGCCACCAACACAGCCCTTTCTTCCTCAGTGATGTCCTCTCAGTCCACAAGCACCTGCCAAGCAAGAGGGGCCAGGGCATTCCTGACAAAGCCAAGTCCATCCTCAGGGAGCCCTGACTCAGGGCAGACACAGCATCAACCTGCCCTCAAGGGAGCAGGGTTCCCAGAGGATGGTGCTTGGGGACACAGGGGACAGGACTTATCCCCCTCAGCTGCCCCCAGTGTCCTTCCCCTCCTGTCACCTCCTCTCCAGCCCCCCTGCCCTCCTCTCCTCCCTTCTACCTTCCCCTCAGCCCCCCACTGGGCCCAGGAGGCTGCTGGGCCTGGCTCTCCTTGGCCCACAGTGTCTGTGTGTGACTCTGCTTGTTTTCTTTCCAGAGTGTCAGGAAGGGCAGGTGGCAGTAAACAGAGGACAGAGGCCCTAGGGTTTGGCACCTACCTTAGCCCTCCTCTGCCAGGCAGAGGCAGTGCTGGGTGAGGTAGGGGGTCCGGGGGGCAGACCTCTAAGGAGGTGAAGATCTGCCTGGGTGGGCATAGCTTGGTGGTCAGCCCTTGCCCCAATGCTGGCAATCCATGTCTGGCTGGCCCCACGGTTCATTGCAACCCGGGCCCTGAATGCAACCCCTGCCCAGGGTAAATGGGGTCAGTAGCGTTGGTTCAGGGATGGCCAGGCTCCAGGAGGCTCATCGGTGACTGGCTGCCTGTGTGGTGAGCAATGGGGCAGGGTGATTGTGTCCACTCCTGTGAGCTGACCATGCCCCAGACATATCCAGGGGGAGAAGCGCACCTGTCTCATACAGCCAGGCACGAACTGTTCTGACTCACCGGTTGCTGTGGAGGGAGGAGAGGGCGGGGCCCAGGTGGCTCCCTCGGGTCAGCCCCCTCCAGGCTCCTGTCGTGCTGTGTGTCCCTCCCATCTGCTGCAAGGTCAACTCTAGTATCTAAAGTCACAGTACAACTTAGCAAAGGAAAAGTGGGGACCAGAGGTAATCTGGGCTATGTCAGGGGGGCAAGTGGGCAGCTTCAAGAGCTCTGGTCTGAAAATGACGATGGTGATGTCAGTGCCAGACAACACGCTGCCCTCTCAGGGAGGCTGCCTGGCCTTCCAGGTATTCAGAGGACAGGTTTCTATCCTTTTGACAGAATTTTTGAGGTTCTAAACAAGGAAATACATTTTTTTTAATGACTGACTAAAAGTTAGAATTAAAGATTTAAAGATAAATCTACATTTTCTTGAAATGCTGCTTGATCAGTTTGTCTCTTTGGATGACCAGCTGTCACTTTCAGGGATAGGCCCAGCTGTGACACAGTGCCTTAAACAAGACATGAGCTCCTTAGAGGCAGGTGCAGTCTGGCATCGACTCTGAGCTCAAGGACACCAGGGACAGGTCTGCAGGCCTCTGGCCTTTGCCTCCCAGTCGCCAGGTGGCTTCATGGCTCCTGCCATCAGGCTAGTGTTCCAGGCAGGAGGAAGGAAACAAGAAATAAGTGGTGGTGTCAACCTCCAGCAATCCCTGACTGACTTCTGTTTACTTCTCAGTGGTCAGTCAGTGTTACATGGCCATCCAGTTCCAAGAGAGGCTGGGAAATGTAGTTTTTCAGATTTGGATATAAAGGTAGCTTTTCAGATAGCATTCTCCTGTTCATGGATTTGAAGTTTTGTTGTGAAGAGCCTTCCTATGCAGCGCTTGCAACAGCGGGAGCACTGTCCAGGCGGGAAAAAGGAGGGGCAGGGGGGACCCAGCAGCAGGTGTCGCCTGCCCTTCCAGTGAGCAGAGCCAGCCTCTCACCAAGTAGACATGAGCCCAGACCGTCCGGATCTATTTCTCTTCAGTGCAGCTCAGTCGGAAAGCTC